TTTGGCCGGCCCCGATTTTTTTTTCAGAGGGGAATATCATGCCTGATCCCGGGACAACTCATCATAAAGATTGAGTCCATTGCACAAGCGTCCGAATTCGGATCGCGTGACCCCGACGGCCGTAAGGGTGCAAACTGGTTAGAAGCACACTACCACCACCCATTTTCAGTGCCGTTGTGACTCCGATCAGTCACTCAAGGGACTGTTGCAAGTCGAGGACTACCTGTCCCAGGCTGGGCTCTTGGGGAAGGCATGGGACTTGGAGTCCAGCGGCTTCTGTTGGACGTGGCCACCCGGAAACCTGTCGGTCGTCCCAAGGTGCATCGGGGGTGTCAGATTAAAGTCAGATTAACAGAGTTGGAAGGGACCTTGGAGGTCATCTAGTCCAACCCCCCCACCCTCAAGTATTGGAACACGGCTCTCCTGTCTCCCCTGCTCCTTTTGTTCATTAAAACCAGATTAAAGTCAGATTAGCAGAGTTGGAAGGGACCTTGTAGGTCACCTAGTCAACCCCCCCTCCCGCCCTCAAATATTGTAGCACTGTTCTCCTGTCTCCCCTGGTCCTTCTCTTCCCTAAACTAGCCATGCCCAGTTCCTGCAACTGTCCATCATATGTTTGAGCCTCCAGTCCCCTCCTCATCTTAGTTGCTCTTCTCTGCACTTTTTTCTAGAATCTCCACATCCCTTTTTTTATAGTGGAGTTGCCGTGGGCAGGAGAGGGGTTGGGGGAGAGCTGGTGCAGCAGCACGGCAAGCCATGGTCAGAGGCACACCCCACACACATGCCTTTCTCAAGGCTGTATCCCAGAGGGGTGATCTCTACAGCCTGGGAGGAAGGTGCTCCGGTTGGAGAATGTGATTTATGACACACCCTGGGCGGGGGGAGGGGAAACGGGGTCATAGTTGAGCCGTAAATTACATGAGGCAGAGTTCACTTCACTTGGGTCCATGCGGACCTGTTGCTCCTAATAAATAACTGCCTTTCTTTTTTGAGGCTCATGGTTTAATTAGGGCCTCTGTGTTGTAGTTGACCGGCAGCCGGTACAGCCAGCTGCGGAATCGGACAGTGGGGAAGAAAGGGGATCAGTCTTGAGAGGCCTCGGATGAGGGTCCTGCATCCAATGCAGAGATGGGGCCAAGACAATCTGGGAGTAGGGTGCTGCCTCCAGAGCCTTTGGAGTCTGGCAGCAGTGAGGAAGAGGACCCAGGGGAGCCTGTTCCTAGTGCACATGCACAGAGCTGCTAGAAGGTGAGAGCAGCTGAGACAAAAGGGTCGACTCGGGAGTAAGACAGGGAGGTGATTGCCCCTCCCATAAGGGATAAAAGTCAGGCCAAATTGACAAACTCTTTGTAGGAAGCAAGGTCGTTCGATAGATTCCTGAGTCCTTGAAGCTCTATGTATTCTGGTCGGGTTTTTTTCTGGCACTGTTTTAATTAATTTGGAGACTTCTGTTTTTTGGCAATTGCAATTGCACAGCATTGAAAGGTGGGTGCTTATCTCAGGGAACCGTTTTGGCTGGGAATGAATGTAATTCCCAGCGTTGCAATAAAATAGGTTTTGCTTTGAAAACAAATTGGTGAATCATGACGATTGACAAAGCCTGGGTCAGAACAGATCCCAGGAAAGGGGGCAGGAGAGGTGAAATGTCCAGAGGAACCTTGACAGCAAAGTCAGCTCTGCCTCATGTAATTTACCAACACAGGGGACCCCTCTCCCAGAAACACAGCCAGGTAGGGCGAAGGTGGAGGCTCCCACTTGGGCTCCTCTGGTTACCCCCCCCCTCCCCCTCCCCCAGGTGGACATTTTTAACAAAGAGATCCTGTTGATCCCCATCCACCTGGAGGTTCACTGGTCGCTGATCTGCGTGGAGGTGAAGCAGAAGAAGATCACATACCTGGATTCCCAACGCACCCTCAACCGACGGTGTCCCAAGGTAAGGCAGACCCCAGGGTGGGCGGGCAGAGTGGATAAAAATCGATGGTTTCTTTTTAAAAAATAAAAAATTTTAACAATCGGATTTAAAAAAAAAATTTAATCGGATTTTTAAAAAAAAAATTAATCGGATTTTTAAAAAAAAATTAATCGGATTTTTTTTAAAAAAATCGGATTTTTTGGGTTTTTATTGAATTGATTTTAATAAAATGCTTTTGAAGTAAATATCTAAGGAATAAAATAGAATTAGAATAGAACTAGAATTCAATAGAATTAGAATACAAGAGAATTAAAATACAAGAGAATAGAATTAGTATAGAATTAGTATAGAGTAAAATTAGAATACAATAGAATTAGAATAGAATTAGTATAGTATAGAATAGAATTAGAATAAAATAGAATTAGAATAGAATAGGAATAGAATAGAATTAGAATAGAAAAAACAGCGAGTGGATTTCCTTGTTTTTTGTTCTTTTGGTTTCTCTGAACCATTTTGCTTCTCGGAATCAGAATAACCTTTTCTCTCGTCTTTGATATTCTTATTCCGTTTGGCCATTGATTAAAGAGTCCAGTGTGTAGAAGACAGGCCATTCATTTGTAAATAGATTTAACTGGTTTAAAAAAAAATGGTGGGGTGGGCTTGTTTTGCAAGGAGCCAACCACGTAGCAATGTATCTCCCATCCGTTTTCAACCAGGAGGGGACGATACGTCTCTACAGGCAGCCCTCGGCTTAACAAGACTTCATTTAGTTGACCGTTCAAGGTTTGCAATGGCACTGATAAAAAGAGGGACCGAACGACCGTTTTGCCACCCTTCACGACCGTTGCGACGTCCCCAGGAGCCAAACTTGGATGCTTGGGGCCACCGATGGGTATTTTTAGGACAGCTGCCGTGCCCCATGGGTTACATGCTTCCCCTCTTGCGACCGTCTTCATGGGCAGCGTCCAAGGGGAAAGCTGGATCCCCCTCAACAGCCAAGGACTAGTTGTAGATGTTCTGGGTTTTCTTTCTTTCTCCTTTCTTTCATTCTTTCTTTCTTTCTTTCTTTCTTTCTTTCTTTCCTTTTCTTCCTTCCTTCCTTCCTTCCTTCCTTCCTTCCTTCCTTCCTTCTTTCTTTTCTTTCTTTCTTTCCTTCTTTCTTTCCTTCCTTCCTTCCTTCCCTCTTTCTTTCCTTTTCTCTCTTTCTTTCTTTCCTTCCTTCCTTCTTTCCTTTCTTTTCCTTTAAGGCCCCTTTTAAAATATATCGATCGTTTTATGGATCAGATTTTTTTTGTGTGATGGGGGAAGGAATTTTAACTTGAATAAAGTAATAATAACAATAATAATAATAATAATGCAAAGAATAAGCTTTAGGACGGCAATGGGGCTTCTGTTTGATGTGCCTTCCCCTTCCTCTTCCTCCCCCCCCCCCCCCCCAGCACATCTGCAGGTACCTGCAAGCTGAAGCTGATAAGAAGAACCGCCCGGACTTCCGAGAGGGATGGAGAGGGGTTTTCCAGATGGTGAGTGTCTCTTCCCCAGGCATTGGGGGTAAGGGGGGCAAGGGGGGGATCCAGTGACCCAGCTCCTTCGGGGTCCTCTCCCTGAGGGTCTTGGGGCCTCCCAAATTTAACCCCGAGGAGGATTCCCCCCCCCCCCCGGCACCCACCCAGGAGGCTCTTCAGCTGCAGCCTGTGGTGTCTCGCCTGCACTCCCCTCCTTGCGCCTCTTGGGGAGGGCAGAACCCGCCCCACAGCCTCTACACCAGGGGTGGGCAAACTTTTTGGCTCGGGGGCCGCATTGACTTTTAAAATTTGACAGACGGGCCGGGTCAGCACAAGATTTTTTGGGAATCGCCCCCCCCC